ACCACCGACACCGGCCTTGCGGCAAGCGGCCTCGGGAAGCGCAGAGGGACCCTCGCGGCTCAAGGGCTTTACAGTTCCTCCCCTCGCGAGGGTTCTCCGCTCGCCGAGGAAAGGATTGCGTTTCTGTCGTGGGGAGAGGCAGAAATTATTGCGCTAACGCAAAAGAAAAAGGGGACTGAAGTATCCCACCTGCGGTGACAGCCATTCTTCTTCGAGGCAGGGGCGAAGCGGCCCAAGGACAGAGCAGTTCCCTGCAAACGCCGCTGGCTGCAAGAAAATAAGAAAAGGGAAGTAGTCCATCTTAACAGCCCGTTAATGCCGCAACCTTGGCGTGAAGTGAAACCCGAATCCTGCCCCTTAACACCGGCCGAAGGGAACGTGCGGCTTGCCGTCCCCCCACGATCTGCAGAAGTTTCAAGGAGCGGGTTGCCGGCACGGCAATTAGGCCCTGAAGTCGGTTAAACCCGGCTGTTTGGTGGTCCGGGTTTTATGCAGCAGGGACAGGGCGCTGCCAGTAACGCCGCTGTCCTGCTGACGACTGAACTCGCGCTAATTGCGTTGGCTTTCGTTAGCTTTAGGTGCTGGGGACATACTCACGCGGCCGTTCGGGATATCCCGGCGGGTCTCTCACGTAAGCGGCATTTTGTTAAAAAAAAAAAAAAAGAGGAGAACGCGCGGCGAGCCCCGCAGGCGGCAGAGGTTTCGCAGCGCTCGCTGGTGAGGCCACTGCCGAAACGCTGGCGGCTTTTGGTCCACCTGTAACATACCAAACCCTGGCTGTTAGGATCAGGCCCTTCGTGGTCCCTCCCACCCCACAAAAAAGCCTCGAACAACCCGGGTAGGTGCAAGGCATCGGGCTTGAACGAAGCGTAACCCTGATGGGTTTGGCAAAATCAACTTGAAATTAGATCTTCAGCTGTCGTGCGCATGCGAAGACGCAGACGACGATAAACCTCCCAGCTTTTATAACGCAGCAATTTATAAAAATACAAAGCTTCGGAGTTCAGGACCTAATAAAGCAACGTGGGAGTCAAAAACTGTCAGCAGAGTCATAAAAACAAAAGCATCTTCTTCCAAAAAAGAGCACCAAGTGCATAAATGTAAAATAATCCGGTTTTTAACCGGGAGAGTCCACGTTGAACAGCGCAATCTGCACTTCCACCAGAAGCCTCCAAAATCTCACTGTTTTACATCTAAAGCAAGTCCCATTAATAGCGGGGATGAGCCGGCATTATCTGCTTTTTGCAGAAGGAAGAAAACGTGGCCGAGGCATTTGCTTAAGGAAACTCAGCCTCTAAGGCAACCGGGAACCCAACCCAGCCTCACTGGCTGCCCCCAGCCTCGCCGCTCATCGGGGGAAGCAAGCACAGAGGCTGCCGTCAGCTCAAAACCTCCCTGGCGCCGAGGGTTTTAAAAAAAAAAAAAAAAATTAGTTAAAAAAAAAAAACCAACCAGGCTTTTTTCCAACTTTGCACAGGAAAAAAAAATCCCCTCAGTTATTTCCACAGCCCTCGTTTCCACCAGCCAGAGGAGTGGCATTTATAACTCAAAGACAAGGTTCGCTCCGGTTTATTATCAGCTTGAAAAGTTACCCCTTCGGCCCCGGCAACAGGCAAACGCTTTTGTTTTTAACTCTCCCCCAGCACCACGGCGGTAATTGCTGCCTGGGCAGGCGGCGAGGGGAGGCCAGGTAAACTGCGATCCACTGGATCCAGCCAGGGAGATCCCCCTCTGCGAATCCGGCCGGGGTTTGGCTGAAACGTGTGAAACAAAGGATTAAATTCCAGGGATTATTTTTTCCCCCCGACGCCGTGCATTAAAAGGGAGCTGTACGATGGCGACGAGCAGCTTTCACCCTTCCAGGAAACGTGTTTCTTAACCCAAATTTCACTTTCCGTATAAAACTGCGCCGTTCCTCCCCGCTTCGCTCCCACCGGGGTCAGTCAGAAACCGGCCCCGCGGGAGCTGGGGCTGCTGCTGCCCAGCAGCGCTCAGATACTGCTTAACGCGGGTTCTGCTGCAAAAATGTTACACACACACCCCCTCCCCCCCCAGCACCGCAGGTGAGGCCGGACCGAGGGGCCGCTTCGAGCACAGACACGACGTGAAAGCCCGCGGAGGCCGAAGCGGGGGGGGCCGGGGGGGG